GACATAAAAAGTATTTAATTTATCTATATTATTTGAACATTGTACAAATGTTCAAATAAAAGAGAAAATACTTTAGATATTTAAATTGATTTCCTAGAAACCCAAACAATTACAAAAAAAAAGTATGGACGAAAAAAATGTTACATATAAAATAAAAAGTTATATATATATATATATATATATATATATATATAAAATTTAAATGAAAGTGAGAATGAAGTGAATAGTAGCATTAGGATGGGTGTGAGGGTAGAGATGGCATATATGTACAACATGCCTAATTTCTTAATTGAGTTAGTAAATCCTTTCAATATTAACAAAGATTATATATTTTTGTAAGAGATTTAACTTCGACTCATTGTTAAAGATGTTAAGTCACTGGCAATGGTAAGATATTAAAAATAAGATTGCCTTTTATTCTAATTAATTAAATGCAAAACCTATTTATATTATTTTTTCCTAAAATTAATCTAAGACCAAAACCAGGCAAACAAAGAAGATTAATGTGATTGGTTCGTCAATCCCACGCTCTTCTTGATTCGTGCTGTCTTTGTCATTCATCGTGTCCTCGTCTACTTCTTCTTCATCTTCAAATCGCTTCTTCTTTTGTTTGTTATCTTCTTCTGTCACATTGAAAATCATCACACCGTTTCTTGGTTTCTCATTTTCCCCATCGCAGTTGAATCTATTGATCTCTTTCCCAGTTCTTTGTAATCAGAAATTAGGGAACCCAAGAATGGCTCAAGCGGTTGAAGAATGGTACAAGCAGATGCCCGTTATCACGCGCTCATATCTCACAGCTGCAGTTGTCACCACCATCGGATGCTCCCTTGATGTAAAACACCTTTCTTCGCACTCTCACACTTTTAGGGTTTCCAATCCCTTTTCTGCTTATCTATTCGACGCGTCTAATTTGGGCTTTCCGTTTTAGAATTGTTGTATTTCATTTGTTTTTTCGTTTTGATAATAGAATCGTTAATGTGGTAATCCGGTTGTTTATTATTGATTTTAAGAAGTGTTTAAAGAAGCTGCAATTGGATCGTATTTGTGCTAGCTCGGTCTGATGAGAAGTTTGCGTGATTTCTATAATTTGTTTGTTTCAATTTGTTTGCCTGGAGGATTGACTTCTTCCAGGTGACTAATTCTTTGTTTACGGATTCTGTTTTTGGTGGTGTTGCAGATAATTTCTCCTTATCATCTGTACTTGAATCCTCGATTGGTGGTGAAGCAATATCAGTTTTGGCGTCTGGTTACGAATTTCTTGTACTTTCGTAAAATGGGTAAAGTTTCTGCTGCTTACCGTTTAATGAATTGATATTCTTTGAGATTGGCGGTGGTGGATGCTTTGATTTTTAGCTTTCAGTTTTAATATGGAGAAGGTCTCAATTTTTTGATGTCAACGTGTTTATGTCACTGATTTTCATTTGAATTTGTTTTCGTGTGTGCATACATAGATTTTTTTACGTCACTTGAGAGCTACTAATTTTATTCTTAGTTAAGGAAGATCTTATACTAAAATCTCCCTCTCTTGGGCAGTTAGAGATGTATGCGATAATATGATAATGAGTATGATCGCTCCTGATTAATTCTCTATATGGGAGTGTACATATTTTTAAGCATCATGAATCCAATCCTCACATGATGAAAATTACTATACGAGAGCAATTACATTAAATGAACTGCAGCTGTTTTGAGCAGAGCACTAGTGAAGAAAGACTACAGCTGAAGTTGGGATATACCAACATTTCGGAAAAGGGGTCAATCCAATTGACCCTGGCGTAATCATAAGGAGAATGACTATGAATATGATAGTTCCCAGAAATAAACTACTTGATTACAGATGAGTTTTTGTGGGCTTATCAGAAGCAATAAAACTGCTTTATGATATTTATTCTTGTTTCTTGGAGAGTATAGTATGGTCCTTGTTCCGTATACACATGGTCATAGTTCTTGACTTTACTGAACCCCCGTGTAAAATTGGAAATTAAATCTTGCATTTCTGAATATGGCCCTTTTGTAGTGTTATGCAAGGGAGACTGAAGCTTGCATTGATTGTTTGATGTGTTTAAGTTAGTAAACTCTCTTGTATCAAATGGGTGTCTATTGTATAAAACGGTTGCCTCATCCTCACATCCCCTATTTTCTTTTGCGCTTTGTGTCTGTGGACTAGGTTATCAAATGCTAGATTATTGGATGCATATTGTATTCACACCTTCAGCACATTTAGTTCTTGACATTTCCTAATTCCCTGTGTTTTTCCTGAATTACAAGGACATTTCCTAATTCCCTCTAATAATAAACCTGTATGGTCAAATTTTCTGGGGCTGTATTGTCGTTGCTTACGGAATATTGTCATTTGCCAGCAGCTCCTGCATATTGTTGTTTGTGTCATCATCGTTTGAAATTTAATTGAAAATTGTGCATCTCACATCTAAATTTGACATGGTATTTTCTTATTAAATGCGCAGACTTGGATTTCCTGTTTCATATGTTTTTTCTTGCACGTTACTGCAAGCTTCTTGAGGAGAACTCGTTCAGAGGGAGAACTGCCGATTTCTTTTACATGCTTTTATTTGGTGCCACTGTATTGACTGGAATTGTTCTTCTCGGGGGCATGATACCGTATTTGTCAGAGTCGTTCGCAAAAATAATATTCTTGAGCAACTCATTGACGTTTATGATGGTAAATCGCATTTCTGTATATTTGTTGTTCAGTACAGGTGTTTAAATTGGTCTCAAATAATCTATCTTTTTTTCAGGTTTACGTGTGGAGCAAACAGAATCCCTTTATTCATATGAGTTTCCTGGGCCTGTTTACTTTCACTGCTGCCTACCTTCCATGGGTGCGTAAGCTGTATAGGATACGATACCAATGGACCGGTTTATATTTCAAAAAATTTATCTTTGATTTTGATATTCTGTCGTTCGCTCAAGTTCCAACCTATAATAAAGGCAACCTAACCTCGAAGTTTATGCTTGTAGGTTCTCTTGGGTTTCTCTGTACTCGTTGGTGCCAGTGCTTGGGTGGATCTACTGGTATGCCTCTTATACATTAGTATTGATACTTGATTCCTAAGCAATACATTTTGTGAACAACTGGTAGCTAATGTGAATCTTGACTGCAATGTTCAGGGAATGATTGCTGGTCATGCATATTATTTTCTTGAAGATGTTTATCCTCGGATGACAGGTCGTAGGCCACTAAAAACACCATCATTCATCAAAGCACTGTTTGCAGATGACCCAGTTGTTGTGGCACGGCCTGCCAATGTCAGATTTGCCCCCCCACCAGCTGATGAACTTCACCAAGATTGAATGAATGGCCATGAAATGGGTAGAGGATTAGCAACGGAACAGCGAAGCGGTTGACCGTGTAATATATTGATTTAAAACATCTTTTTTTCTCTTGCATTTGTTAATTATTAGGATTCAAGGGGCAATATGTCGAATGTCAGAGTTTTAACTGAATGAGTTCCTCTTTTTTCATTGTAGTTTGTCAGACACCATTCTGTAGATATGATATTAATATCCCCTTTTTATTTTTATATTTTTGACCCTCTGCAGTCACAAGTTTTCTTAAAACTAATTAATTCGTCATATTTGGTTTTTCCACTATAAAACACTTGTAAAATCTCATTTTTTTAATCTAATTATATGGGAGTTTAAGATGAACTTGAAATATAGAATATTTTAGCGGTAAAAAATTAGTGAAGAAATGATACATTTTGAACTATCTAAAGGTACTACCTAAACAAATTTTAAGATAAAAAACAGTACATTTCAAAATCAGGGAAACAAAATCATTGAGAAGAAACATAGATATCAAAATTAATTTTTAAATTAATTAAGAACATGTTTCATCATGAATTTTATTAAATTACCATCGATTTCTACCTAAAACAATATTGGAAGTGTATATGTCAATGCGAAGACTTCGCTTGACCTAGTGAATAGTATTTGTTATTTTTAAGAATTATTTCTTCATCTACTCTATACTCCCAAAAGTTTAACTGGAGTTATTAATAGAATTCAATTCAACTGGCGAAGCTGACTAGTAGTACTTCAAAATGTAACCACTAAAACTATATATATGTGCATGATTTTGTTTAATTGACTAATTAAGGAGTCATTGTTATTAGTTACAAATTTCTATTTGAAAGATAATATATATATATATATATATATATATATATATATATATATATATATGTGTGTGTATATATGTATATGTATATATATGTATATGTATATGTACATATTACATGACAATAATAGTTATTATTTTTATATTTTAAATGTTTCCATTTCAAAAAAACATATGAAAAATTATTTTTGTTTTAGAATTTAACTACTAAATATAATTGTACATCTCTAATAAAATTTACATGTTTCTTTCAGGATTTAATTATTGAATACAACAAAGTTAATTAATATATAAAATATATATACAAATATTAAAAGTTGGATCTGTGGCGCAATGGTAGCGCGTCTGACTCCAGATCAGAAGGTTGCGTGTTCGATTCACGTCAGGTTCATCTTTTTAATATATATATATCTGAAGTTTTTCCGTTCCAAAATTAAGGAATGTTTACTTTTGAATTATATGCAAACTTAAACATGTTAATCTCTTAAAAAAAAAGGTCAATTAATAATCAATTATCTTTCTAATATACATTTTTTTTTCAAGAAATCACATATTCACCCTATAAAACAATGCAAAAGTTATACTTTTATTTATTTATTTTATTTCATAATAATATCATATCTTCCCGAGCCATTATTATGACACTATATATACTGTGTTTATTAACAGTGTTATAGAATCATATTGTTATAACATATTCATAACCAAAGGATAATTAGGTTTATAAAGTTAGCAACACAAACTAAAAAAAAAACGAAAAGTAACTCAAACAAAATCAAGAGTTAAAAGTTTAATCAAGCTTTAAATAAAATCCTTCCATGAAAATTGAAAAAGTCAAAACGCATCGTTTTGTTCGGCTGTTCACAATTCACACCCTAAACCCTGCGTAGCACACTCTCTTGTCTTCTGTTCATTCTGTCTTCCCCTTCGCTAAACCTCCGTCCATCATCACTCCTCCGCCGTAAAACCCTAGCCCTAGCCATGTCAGTCCTCTCCCGCCTCCGCCACTTCTCCACTTCCATCCTCTCTTCCAACTCCTCCACGCCCCTCACCTCCAAGCAGAAGACTCGCTCCGCCCTCCGCCTCCTCAAATCCGAGACCAATCCGGAGCGCATCCTCGATATCTGCCGCGCTGCCTCCCTCACCCCGGAATCCCACCTAGATCGTCGCGCCTTCTCCCTGGCCATCTCCAAGCTTGCCGCCGCTAACCACTTTGATGGCATCCGCCTCTTCCTCGATGATCTCAAATCCCGCCCCGACCTCCGCAACGAAAAGTTCCTCTCCCACGCCATCGTTCTCTACGGCCAGGCCAACATGCTGGACCACGCCATCCGTACCTTCACTGACGATATCTCTCCTCGTTCCGTCAAATCCCTCAATTCCCTCCTCTTCGCCTCCCTGCTGGCCAAGAACTACAAAGAGGTATCTCGAATCTACCTCGATTTCCCTAAAACCTATTCAATTCAACCTGACATAGACACTTATAACACCGTTATCAAAGCCTTCGCTGAATCCGGTTCTTCCACCTCTATTTACTCCGTTTTGGCTGAGATGGATAGGAATTCCGTTAAACCTAATGTCATCACTTTGAATAACGCGCTTTTTGGTTTCTACCGCGAGGAGAAGTTTGAGGAGGTGGGGAAGGTATTGAAACTGATGGAGGAGAAGTATCGTGTTTTTCCTGCTCTCAGTACTTATAATGTTAGGATTCAGAGTTTGTGTAAGCTGAAGAGATCTTCTGAGGCCAAGGCTTTGCTTGAGGGAATGGTTTGCAATAGGAGGAAGCCGAACTCGGTTACCTATGCTTGTTTGATCCATGGTTTTTGCAGAGAGGGGGATCTTGAGGAGGCCAAGAGGTTGTTTAGGGACATGAAGATGAGAGGGTACTCCCCTGATGGTGAGTGTTATTTTACGCTTGTGCATTTTCTGTGTCGCGCTGGGGAGCTTGAGGCGGCGTTGGAGGTTGCTAAGGAGTGTATGGGGAAAGGCTGGGTACCGAATTTTACCACAATGAAGAATCTTGTAAATGGGCTTGCTGGTGCGTCGAAGGTCGACGAGGCGAAAGAGGTTATTAAGCAGATCAAGGAGAAGTTTGCTGAGAATGGGGACAAGTGGGATGAGATTGAATCTGGGTTGTCACAGTGAGGAAGATTGTGGTCTCCTTGTGTTGTATAATCTTTGATCAACTGGAAGGGAGCACTGAAAATTGAATTATCTATGGAACATCAGAGCTTAGGAAAGGTTTTTTCGCCATTTCCTCTGGCCATTGGCCTTTTGGTTGCTCAAATGAACTCATTGGGGACTGGTAATCTGCCAAATTAATTTAACATTTTTGCTGTTGTTGAGCATGCTTAGTTTTCCTGGAGAAATAATAGAATTGGAATTGCTTCTTATTGTTTTATCTCTTTATATTGCATTGGCCCTATTCTTTCTTTTAAAGGAGACTTATACGCTGCACTTCACGGGAGCTTTATAGACCTGTATATTACATTATAACCATTTAGTTTCTTGTTCTACTCGTCCTTCATAGTTGCTGAAGCCAGAAGCTAATTTTGATACAATAGTTCTATTGATTTTAAATGTTAATAGAATACGACATTTGACCCGTTGACATGTTCCATTCTACTGAATTTATGCATTGCGTGTTGCTAATGCTAGTATAATTCATGTAGATAATACTGAACCAATAGTAAATGTCTCTACATTTAAATGCATATTGAGTATTAAATAGAAGTGTTAACGTTAATTGCCACCTTCAACTATAACTCTTGATGTAATGGTTCTTTTAGTCGTTGGAATATAGGAATGGGAGGAATTCAAGCATCGTGCTTCCTTCAAAGGAGTGCTGTATCTGAAAAGTACATGGGGGATGAAATCTTTTAAAGTATGTGTTATCGCTGATTTAAAAAACTGAGTTAGGATAAGCGCAAACTAACACTGGATCGCTTTATGCAAAAGTATTTGAACTTATTTAAGATTTAGAAAAGTAATCTTATTATATGTAATAATTTTGGACGGCACGAAATAAATTATCTCCAAATAGATGTATGTGTATGGCTTGTAAAAATGATAATTAGTTAGTAGCTTAGTCTGTGTCATGCATTGTGCTCGGATAATTGCTTTACAAATTCACTATTTTGGATTATTTGTTTGGTTCTGTTTACAAATTTCCATATAAATATTTTTTTTTAAGAACAAGTGGTGTTTTTTACAACAACCTCTAAATATGAATTAATGTTTATTTTTGCATTTGAATCGTGTTGAACGGAATTTTTCGAATCTATAAGACAAAAACAGGAAGAGGGAAATGTTTGGATGGACACTCAGTTAAATATAACAGAAAAACAAACCCAAATTTAGTTGGATATTAAATCTTTGTTCGAATATCCATACAAGTGAATATGTACATATGCAAGGGTATAAGCTTAACGTTAAAAGTTTATAAGATCTTGATCATTATATAAAACTTAAGATTCGGATATTATTAAAGCTTTTATTAGCATAGCTATCATGACATAAAATTTAAATTTTATAAACAAAATACTAAATTATAAAAGAAATTAACTTTAAAAACACATTTCCTTTTACAAAATATAAATAAAACATTAAATTAAAATCTAAGTGCCGTAAAACCCTTCCCAAATAAAAATTGAAAAAGATCGAGATACTCCACCTCACAAAAACATTAAGGCAGAAGTTTCTTTCATTATATCCAGATTTATACTTCCATATATCATACACGTTTTTGTCACACATGCCTCCTATTTGTGCTTTCATTGTTCAGTTTAATAATTGAATGAAAAAACTATTTTACGAATTTGTGAATTTCAATTAATAGGGTACGTTTAAGGTCTCATGTATCCACACCTCATGTTAAATATACACATAATTTATTTAACTGGAGTTATCAGGAAATGAAAAATAACACCCGTAATTGTCACTAAAATAATCTTATTTTAATCACAAAAATAAAACCTCTCTTATAATACCTCAAGTTGAAAGGAGTTTCTACCAAGGATAGGTACCATCAAAATAGAGATACTCAAAAAGCAAACTCAAATAAAATAAAATAAAAAACTGTATGTATAATGACACCTCAAACTAGGATTATTTTTATGTACAACTAAAATAAATAAACGAACAGACTATTCCCATGCAAGGTTCAAAAATAGAATGAATTTACCTAAAAACAATGTGTTTACCTTATTTGCATCTAACTCATCCTTATTTTCTACGTCACTAGATTTTCTAGGCTAGAAGGCCAAGTGTTTTTTAAAGTGAAAAAGGTTGTCTACGTGTTTATTTAATTCCAATTTCCAATTGAAAAAAGAGATCGTAAAACATGGTAAGAAGAAGTTGTTGTCTTTGTCAGAATTCCTTTTCTTTCTACGTGTCAGAGAAAACCAGCTAAGAATAACTATGTTAAAGAATTTCATTTCGATGCTCAAAACTAAAATAAGTAATTAAAAACAAATACGAAACAGAAATTTAAAGTATTTTGACCCTGAATTAGGGCTTACAGTTTAGAAAATTTAGCCATCTCCTACCTACCGACCGTTATTCTGTTTTTTTTTTCATAAGCTTTGTGCATACAATTTTTTTTCTGGAGATTATTGTGTTGGTTGATTACAAATCTTTTCAAGGTTTGTAGCCAACCATCAACAAGGTCTCCGAAAATGAGTTGCTTCCCATGCTGCTGCAAATCAGACACCAAACCAACCTCTAACGGGGCAGTCTCCACCAAAGTTTCCAAAGGAAGAAGAACATTCAAATCAGTAGCTGCGGCTATGTCTCTTAAAACAGGTATGTCGTATGCTTCATTGCTGATATAAATATTAATCTTTTCTAATTCCAACCCCATTATTATTACATTCAAAACAATCCACTTTTTATCCTTTTTATTCTTTTAACCCTTTCTTTCATCGTAATGTTTATGCCAGTTTATTTTTTTTAATCATTTTCTGTCACTTTCTTTAACGTTATCTGGGTGGAGATTAGCCCTCCCGGCAGTAACATTTTTTCAGGATATAAAGATGTCTCGTGATGAAGATTTTTTTCTTCTTAAGGAATTATTACCAATTAATTCCTTCGTTTTGTTTGATTTAACTGTATTTCTAAATTCAGCTGAAATTCTTCCTTGAATGTAATGAATTTCCTAATTCTACGAGCATCATGCATGAAAATATCATATTGCATGTGAATGAATAATTTTATAATAACTGGGTGATCTCAAATTACAGGCAGCAGCAGGAACAGGCAAATAGACGCAGAGATAAGAAAATTTGGAATTGTAAAAAATGATGTCAAAGTATTCACATATGCACAGCTTCTTGAAGCAACAGACAACTTCAGTTCTGATTGCCTGGTCGGTGAAGGTGGATTCGGGAATGTTTACAAAGGATACATGAAAAGTGTTGAACAAGTCTGCCTCGTATTTTATCATCTAATAATGCTTTGAGTTTTACACAAGGTTGTGAAAATCTAATGTAAAGTATTTTGTGTTCAGACTGTAGCTGTGAAGGTACTGAACAGGGACGGAGCACAAGGAACACGAGAATTTTTTGCAGAAATTTTGATGTTAAGTATGGTTCAACACCCAAACCTTGTGAGGCTCATTGGCTATTGTGCAGATGACCATTATAGGATTTTGGTTTATGAATTCCTGGCCAATGGGAGTTTGGAAAATCACCTTCTAGGTATGATGACAGAAAATTCTGGTATGGACTTAGCTTTACAGAAACACATTGTATATTATGCAACTCTAACTAGATTTTATTGATGTCAGACATAGGTGAAGGTAAGGAGCCTTTAGATTGGAAGACCAGGATGAAAATAGCAGAGGGAGCAGCTAAAGGACTTGAATATTTGCACAGCAGTGAAGATACACCTATCATATACCGTGATTTCAAATCATCTAATATACTGTTAGATGATAACTTCAATGCAAAGCTCTCTGATTTTGGGCTGGCTAAGATTGGTCCTAAAGAAGGGATGGAGCAAGTGACAAGCAGGGTGATGGGAACTTTTGGTTATTGTGCACCAGAGTATGCTGCTAGAGGTCAACTCAGCACAAAGTCGGACATTTATAGTTTTGGGGTTGTGTTTTTGGAAATAATATCGGGTAGGAGAGTATATGACACTTCAAGAGCTACAGCAGAGCAAAACTTGATTGATTGGGTATGCTACAGAACAAAACATGTCCATGGTTGTCACTAATGTTCTCATAACACATAACTGAATTTTTTGTACTTTTTTTTTGGTATTTGTCAGGCACAACCTTTGTTTAAGGACAGAACGAAGTTTACTCTAATGGCTGATCCTTTGCTTAAAGGTCAGTTCCCCGTGAAGGGTCTATTTCAATCGCTTGCAGTGGCAGCAATGTGTTTACAAGAGGAACCTGAAACACGACCTTACATGGACGATGTTGTGACGGCTCTTGCACATTTAGCAGTGCACAAAGTTGGAGACCAAGACATAGCCGGAGACTCTATAAAATGTGCAGGCCATGTTGAATCTTTCAGAGTTCTAAGCTCTGCTGGATCCGAAAGGACGTAGTTCACCACACACAGTCTAGGATTACTGCAAAAATACATCAAAAATTGTTGTAGAAAGATGAAAGTGCTTGCATGCAATTCTGTCTTCGTAACATTCTACAGTTCCTTTTTTAGCTGTAATTCTTCCCTTATGGAACTGATATGAGGCTCCCTCTAATTCAACGGTGTTTTTGCGTTCAGCAACTTATATCGACTTTCTGTTTCTATTTCGTTTGAACATGAGGAGACACTGAGATCCTGAAGGACAAAACACTAACATATAAAGTCTCTTAAATGCTTTGGTATTGTTCTTCAGTCATTGAGTTTCATTAGAGATTAAGCATATAATATGTGAATGAGCGAAATTGTATCTGATTGAAAAACGATATCAGAAATATCTAAAAGCATGTAATCTGTCTTGTGTTCCTATCAACTTTATTTATGTTCCTCAGTTACAAATACTATTTTCGCTAAATGTATGTAGAACATGCCATCATCCATTTACTAGTAGAAAGCTGATCTTAAACTGAATCTGACATCTGAAAAGCCAGCAGTAATAAGGCATTGAAGCACAAGATGCGACAAAAAATGAAAATGACATGAGCATAAAATTTAAAAAAGTTGCCCAAGAGAGGCAACATAGCATGAAGAATAAAATGATATATTGTAAGTTTTGGTTCCCCACAAAAAGCTAGTGCACACTAACTCAAGAGTCACTTAGAGCTGAAAGCTGTTGATATCATTCCTGAGGATCCTGTAGCTGTAACCAGGAATCTGGTTTAACTGATTGCCTTCAGCTACTTCAGCAGCAGAACAAATTTTTGGAAGGAACCCACTTGAGCCTCTTCTCTTCCTCCTCTTCCATGTAGTTAGCAACTCCCAGAAACTAGGCCTTGAAATGGAATAGCTTCTGCCAGAAACCATGTCCACAAATTGTTGCTGAGGCTTTTTTGAGCATCCTCTTCTGTCTAACTCAAACATAGTGAAGTATTCAATTTCCTTCCTGACTAGAGATCCAATAGTGCCCCTTGTCCCTATAGCAACAGGAGCAGCCATTTCAACTGCACTAACTAGTTCTCATGGCACCACTCTTTATATATGATGCACAAATTTACTATTGAAACGAGTGAGGCTTCCACATGAAGAACATAGTGGTCGTGGTTCTTAATTTTCAATTTGGAGCATCCATCTTTTGGTCATTTTTAAATAGTTTATACTTAGTTGCTTTATGAAAAGCAAAAAGCATGAAATTTCCCATAATTGAAACTTTAAAAAGTTGAAATTATCGTGATCTCCAGTGCTTGATAAGGACTACTAGCTTGTTTTCCGGAAATAATACTATACCCTTTTGAGTAACTGTTAGGAATTCTGCTAAAATAGTTACCATATGGTGAAACACTCAGAGAGATTGGTGATTTTGTAGCGTTTCACGTCACAAACACATTGCAGTATTGAATAGTGTGGAACACATTGTCTAACCAAAGACTATTATTGCATTATTGGCAACAGTACTTGTTATATGAAATGGGGTTTTCTGTAACCTTAAATTCCTCCGAATTTCCTATGCAGAAAAAGAAAAGCACAAAAATCAGTGGTTGTCTTTTAATGTTCTTTATTTGTCAGGTCAAAGTTATTCTCCGCCATTCATGGCTTGGCAAGTGGAAAGAGAGGTCATTTTTTTAATGGTGTGACAGTTCTTTTGGGGCGTGATTGCTATGTTGTCCAGGGCAGATGATATTTCCATTTGATCATAAACAAATAAAGTGAAAGTGTTGGATTTCCTACCTAACATTCCAAAAATCTATTTTCAATTCAACTTCTTCTTCTATCAATGAAAAGCAAAAGAGGTATCATTCACTTGGATCGGACCAATTAACTCTACAGGGGATATGAAATGTAAATATGTAAGCTTATTCTCTCACAATTTGGAGGGTAAATGAGTTGAAACTCAAATTTTAAAAATAAATTTAAACACGTGAGTAGACTCAATTATTATATTTTTTTAATTTTAAATTTTATAAATTTCTCGTAAATATTTTGTGAATAAATTATATTTAATTGCATTTTTCAGGAGAATTTTACAATAGTATAAATACGTAAATTTAGTGACTTAAAGTTATTTTCTCAGTTTTTTTAATGGGAGAGGAAATTTTCAAATTAAAAAAAAAAATTAATGGAAGGTTTCAAATCTTATAATAAAAACATGTAATGGGAGGTGCTGAAAGGCGAAAAAATATGGATGAAAAAAAATGATAAAAATAAATATAATCCAAATTTTTACAGGTGATACTTTCAAAGTGTGTTAATGTTAATTTAACAAAATTAACAAAATTAACATTGAAAAAGAAATATAAAAATGAAAAAAAAAATCATATGTTTAAATATAGAAATTAAATTATTAATTAAACCTAATTATTATTATAAAATGAGAGTAGTATAAATGTAATTATTAATACCAATAGGTGAATAAGAAATAAGATTGTATTGAGGAATTTGTATTGCTTTTTAACTCATCTTACAAATAAGTTAATAACTATAATTGTTCTTATAATGGAAAAAGATGACAATACAAAAAGTTAGGTAGAAGAGATTTCATCATAAAAAACAAATATATTAAAACAAATGGAATACTGGAATCTATATATAAATAAAATATGCACAAAAAAGAAAAGGTAAAATTTTGTTACCATGTACAAAATGCCCTTAAAGCAAATGGTTTTCCTTCCTTGTTAATTATTCTGGTATTAGATTTATTTAACTTAAAACTGATTATTTGATGTTATTTTCAAAGTTCTCGAACCAAATTATAGATGTTAGTTAGGGATATCAAAATCCCTTTAGCTTTCATTATACTAAAGAAAAATGTTTTGAAAGAGTCCCATACTTTTGTACATGTAAAATCATAACAAGAAAAAAAAAACTCCAGTTTAAAAATAAAAAACAATTATACCTTATCCATTGTTATTATAGTGGTATTTTGGTTTTAGATACGCACGTATCCTTTTTTTCGCTTTTCAACACTTTTTCACTGTTATTCTTTCAATTTTGATATTCTTTCAACATAAATACATTTGGCAGCATGCAAATCTTGAACTACAGATACTCTGCTATTTATTCATTTATTTACTACAAGATTTGAAGTTATCTTTTATATTGTTATTGTTTTTTATTCTGCATTATATCATAAAACTTTTTAAAATATCATTTTTTTTCATAATTGAAACTAAAAAATTTAGATAAGAGAGAAAAATTAAAGTAAATAAACTTAATTTACCAAATTTGGATAGGAAGAATTTATGTATATTTTTTTATTATTATTTGCATATTTTTGTTAATTATTCTTTAATATTTTCTTAACTAGTTCACTTATTCATCAAACTGCATCAAAACATTTTGCACTTTGTTTTTAGATCGTTCTTTCCTCCTTTCGTTCTGTTTTTCTTTTGGCCGTTTCTTTCTTTTCTCTATATATATGCCACAAGATAGTGTTTTTAGAGCTTTGGAAATAATTATAAGAAGTAAATTGTTACAATAATAATAGAAGAAATCTGGTGACGACTCTCACGGTGACGTAAACAGATTGTGTTAGTGCTTAGCGATAAAACCAAACCGTATTTTAAAAGGCAAACAAGTTTGAGTTTGACTGTTATAAATCATAAGTTCAAACATCACGTTATGTTATATTATATTATATTATATTATATTATAATATTCCAAATCAAGACTTTGACTACCGCCCCATTTGAGGAACTTGCCTAAACCACCTAAAACCGTGTACTTGTACTCTACTTTAAAACTAATTACAATTTTATACTACTCACAAAATAAATAAATATATTTGTTATCTATTTCATGTAGATTAGACTTAACAAACCTTTTAATTCAATTATAAATAGAATATATTATACATTTTTTATTAAAAAATAAATAATCAAATTTTTTGGTAGTAGGTCATAGCTTAAAATTATGTGGGTAACTGGAGGTTAATTAGAAATAAAAGGACTGTTGTTGTCCAGATATGTTGCTTTCGATCCATACGTTTCACAACTGGCAAAGAACAAACACACATATATTTTGGCCCACCACACCAGTACAATACAATTTAAACATCTTTTTTTTTTTAATTATTGAATAAAAAAAATTCAATACTTAAAAAAGGACATTTTTTTTAATTAGGCTAGTTTATCTAAATGTTGGTGTCACCTACAAAATTTTCAGAGTTTTTAAATTATAGTAAAGGGAATTGATAAGGTTTGAAGTGCGAGATCAATGGAAATTATGAATTCTGGTTCTTCAAATTCCAATCTCTCTACATGACAAAAATATAACTTTTTTGAAGACTGAGGATGAATACAAACAAAAAGACGACAATGGGTAATGGGTAATGTTGGATATTCTTCTGCCTCGTAACAAAATCACTTTCAAAAGACTTGTTGGTAAATGTTGGCAACATGAAAGAAAATCCGTGGCTACATGTGATAACAATTTTATTAGAGCCACCTATATTTTTATCTTTTGAAGCATGAAGAGATTCCTTGCAACACTTGCTCATGTTGTCAACTTCAATGAAGGAATTAGAGGTTATTCTTGTAGTTTCATATTCTAGAAAGTCTTTTTGGGAATTATGTTATTGGGGTCGTAGAAGAAGATGAATTATTATCACTGGTTCACCTCTTGTTGCTTGTCTTGTTCATCAATCTAGAAATAGTAATGTAGGTTATACAAAGTGTACCGAACCCACTCTTTTCAGTTTTCACCATTGTGTGGCCAGATGGAAAAGTTCATTGTAGTGGTCAAATTAAAAAGTGGTAATTGCGGCATTATTAGGCAAGGTTGTTACAAGTCAACATGGATTACGATCAAATGTTGTTCAAAAACCAACCAACTACACCGTCCAATGGTCGCATCGAACATATGCATATAATGTTAAATGTCCAATACTTCGTTCATATTATAATTATGTGAAAACAACGTCTTTTTTATGGTTCAGATTGTGTGGAACTGTGTAGAATTGAAGAAGATCGTGAATCGTGATCCAGTCAGCATATATATCCAATGACGTGACCATATTGCAATGGTGTGTAGCTAATCAACCGAAACCTCATAGAAGAGTCACTAGATTGAATAATTTTATCAAGGACCAATTGCAAGGATTTAACTTCTGAAGTGACGTGCAAAATGAGAAAATAGAGGATAACTTTGCTGCTGATTTCAATTAAAATACTCATAAACTTGATCAGATGCATATACTACACCCTTATTTTATCACTTCATTCATTTTTTTCAATCTAGGATAAGGGACAGGACGCAGAAGGATCGCTGGGTAACATCTAAAGTAATCTAAATGCACTTCAATATTTTTTTGCCACTGAATTGAAAAAATTTCTTAAATCTTCCTTTATTTTGCTATCTGCAAATGTATACTCAATAGCATTCCTTGACAGCTCAAACATTTCCCTCCTTCCCAGCCCTAGTAATCAATTAATCAGGCATGTGGTCAGCAAAACCTGCTGAATTAATTAAAAAGTACTGCCTGCAAAAGAAAAGTGAAACGTACCAAATGAATCAGCAGCATATTTGTATTCCTCGGTGAGACTGGTAGAGAACACACCCGAGTCATCAGTACACAGGACTAAAGGATGTTTTGCTTTGTACAGATCACCTGCATCAGAAAGATCATGAGGTTAAGAGAGGATTGATTATTTTAAAGCAAATCCCCTCATAATAAAAGTTTGTATATAACTCTGAAATTACTTTACAAGTGTTTGAGAATAAGATTATGATTACTGCATAGACTTTTAGCTTAGTAGCTTATTTGGCTAGATATACCTAAGACATGTTGGTGATAGAATAGAACCATTAACTTCTTTTTAACCCACAAAAGTGAGATTTGATCTCCAACAAGAAGAGATGAACTTCTATTGCAAAATGTAAGAGCATTACGTGCTGTAACCACTTTATGGAAAGTCAAAACAGGTCTTGTTTGTTCGTGTGTGTCCCATGAACACGTTAAAAGGTTTGGTTCCTTAAAACCAGGACAGAACTTTTGAAGAAAACGGACGAGAGAAAACGTCTCCCAACTCTTTCTGTTTTTTTGTTTTCAAAACACTGTTTTGAAAAACAATTTCATCACTTATATAGAT